TATATGTTTTAAATATATAAAATATATGTATAATGTACTTTTACACATATATTTTATATGCATAATGTTATATATTTTTAAATAGCATTATATATATATAAACATATTTCAAATGATCTAAATTAATTCTAGATTAGCTTGCCTTTGAGATTACATACTGTGAAGAGATGAAGTGAAGTATGAAAGGAAATAGATGTGAACATTGACATGTATCAATTGTAAATCTAATGCCCGATTTCACCAACGTAGATTTACTTTAATCTTGGTTTAATTTGCTCTTCATGTTTTTCTAATTCTTAAAGCTAGGAAAAGATGAAGAATAAGTTGAACCGAGATTAAAGTTAATCAACGTTTGTGGAATCGGACATAAAATAATCCTGGACAGCATTGACGTATGCAGAAATTATCATAATTAAAAGCAATCATTAACGAGCTGAAAGTATGAAAAATTTTTTTAATTGATCCAAGTGTGAACTTAAGTAGAATGTTCGAGACGCGAAGATGATAGAGGATGATGAACGACTTTAACGTTTCTTTCACATTTCTATCGAGCAGCAGTTCCTGTTCGCCGTATAAAGACTGTTCTTCATATCGCGAAAAGACTGTTAACACAAGTGATGATACAGGCTCTAGGAAATCTTAACAATTAATAGAACTTGCGGTTTCGACTACGAAATTCAAGGGAAGCTGACTAACGTAATAATTGTAAAGAATGTAGATAAGATCATGGGACTACATTTAGATACATCGAAATTATATTGTAACGAGGCCGAAGAAGCTACATTCAAAGAAAAAAAAAAAAAAAGAAGAAAGATTTTTCCTCAGACGTCGACAAAGGCATTAACGGTTTGGCTAACTCAAACTTAATACATGCGAATGAGGCCACAAACCTTATTCGAAAAAAAGCCTTTATTCGACTTATTTTGCGCCGTAGAATCACTCTTTTTTCCGGTTGTACCACGTATTTCATCTCATCTGCGAATATCCCTAAGCCAAGCCAACTAATGCCTTTAAACTTAAATCTGTATACTATGTATACCATATTTGCTGCGTGCGAAAATATATATTAAAGAGGGGTAGTATAGGGAGAGAAAGAGAGAGAGGAAAATTAGAAGGAAACGATACAGATATTTTGTTACTATTAATTACTATTCGCCTGTTTCGCCCATGACACAGTGTATATTTTAATTATAGCAAAAATAAAAAAATAAATGCCGATTATTTCAAAAATACACCTTGAAACACTTAGTTTACAATATCGATTCAGTTTTACGTGAAACTAAGAGTTAATTTTCTGAAGAAAATGGCAAATTTTTCTTTTCATTCAAATATACAAATATATAAATTTGCCTTGATTAGTAAAATCAAGAGCAATAAAATCTTTCGTGCATTCTGTATACAGGAAAAAAATTGTATACAGGAAATAAATAACGTGGCCAAAATTAATATTATACTATTACAATTTAATGAATATTTAACAATTAAAATATACAATATGTGAATCATGTATCATTTTATAAACATTATAGATATCTATGAAAATAAATGTTATTAACAACAAGATATAAACGTCAAATATTGCTTGGATGCAAAAAGCCACGAATAAAATCTGAAAAATTTATTAAATAGATATTAAACTATTATTTAAGAAAACCATCAAGACTTCAGAGATGTTCATAATTTTGCGCTTTAACAAATAATAAAATTGATATAATTACAACGCATATTGCTTATTTAATATTTAATAAAATTAAAATATTTTAATCAAATAAATAATATAAAAGTATAAACAAAAGAATTTGAATAATTGTAAAAATCGGTATATTTAACACACACACACACACACACACACACACACACATATATATATGTGTGTGTGTGTGATTAAAATGTGTGTTTTAATATGTTTCATTTTATTATTAAATATTCATTAAATAATAATGCATTGCAATTGCATGTTAATTTTGGTCATGTTTTTTGTTTTTTCTCCTCTATGCTATGTATAATGTGTTTTTTATTGTCTAGCAATAACATCTGGAGGAATGGAATGGCAATGATATATTATCAACGAAATATTAAAATCAACAATTCTATTCATCAAAAAATTTTATGACTCAAAGGTAACTGAAGAACATCGATATTATCAACTATTGATATAAATTTTTTCTTGCTGACGCATATTTGAACAATGCATGATTAAATTTATGATTTTTGTATTATACAAATATTTCATAAATATGACAGACTGTATTATTATACGTATTGTCATAAAAATTGCAATTGATTTATATAAAATTTCTATGAATAATCAAATACGAATAGAAACTATAAAAATGCAGATTTATATAAGATTATCACCAAGTCAGTAAACATATTCTTATATAGCAAAATTTGATTCTATAGATAGAATCAAATAGATAGGTTCTATGTATATATATATATATATATATCAAAGATACTTAATATTCACAGCAAAGATTTTTCTAATAAATATGTTTATTTGATATTCGTGGAATATCGTCATTTAGATACCATTTAGATATCCTTGCTTAATCAACTTTAAGTCTGATAATATTTAATATCCTAAAATATTTTATAAATTTTATGAGAATCTTTTTACAGAGAGATTTTATAAGTTTTTAAATTAAATAAAAAAATATAAATTCACTATTGATTTTTTATCATTTCCTTTTATAACTATTTTCTTGATTATTTTTTTTTATATGTGACACCAGTTATTTATATCACACATATTTTTTCAGATTTTTCTGGTAATTTTGGAGCAACACAGCCATAATTGACGTTGATGATGCTCTCGACAGATGTCACCGTGTTCGCGGCGATGCCTTCGCGATGCCCTCGGTGTTTTTTGGCACAGCAGTTTCCGTCAGTCCGGTGTGGTGGTTACTGGTGAACCGCGCAGATCCATCCGTGTGTGTGTGTGTGTGTATGTGTGTGTATGTGCGCGCTGGTATAACAGCTGTGGCTGGCGAGTTCTCGAACGCGTCGGAACGGCTTTTCTCGCGCGGAGAATCGCAACGACGCCCGGGACGCAGTAGCGATAGCGACCGTGCGGATCGTCGCGCGCGGAGAGAGAGTGTCCCCGGGAGAAGCCACGGTGCTATGCCTCACCCAGAATCGGCACGCGGGGTGCCGTCGCGATCGGTCACGCCGCACCGACGATCGCGGGGATTCGCGATGTAGCCCCCTCCCGCCTCACCCCGTCACCTACTCCCGTTGCTGTCGTTGCTGCCGCCGCTGCCGCTCCGCCGCTGCTCCGCCGCCGCTCTCCTCATCTCTCAACCCCTGTGCTCGAGCTCGAGGAAGAAGCAAGCACCGTATCTCGCGTCTCGTCGCAACACCCCGGTCACATCGATGCGTCGTCACTCGACGTCAACGGGCACTCGCGTAACGACGCTCACGGATCCTGACCGCCGCGTCGAGTCACCTGCGATTACGTGTACCACGCCGTTGTCATCGTCGTTGACGTCGCCGTCATCGTCGTCATCGTCGTTGTCTCCCGTAAGAAGTGCCTTCTCTCGATCAGCCGTGCGAGCCTCCCGGGGGAGGCGACGACCGTGCACGTCTCACCTGACACGGCGGTAAAACGCGATCGTCTTATCGATACACACCTTTGTCTAATCCTGCCTACTGCTTCGGTGAGTTGGATAGCCTCGCAACGCGATATACCGAAGAGATGAATTAACGGATTGGCGTAGCGAGAAGAGAGAAAAGAAACGAAAAAAAAAAAATGTAGAGTTCGTTATGCCTTTCAATTTTCACGCCGCTGGAAATTGCGGCAAATAATCGCCCAGTTGAACTTGCCAGAGTCGATGCATAAGTTCCAATCAGGATTGAACTTGAGATTAGTTTGATTAAAAATTAATTGCGTTATTTCTGTTTTTCACGAAATTTCAGATTCTAATGTATTAGACTTATCAATAGATATATAAGCTAATTCGGTGTTTTTTTTTTTTTTTTTATTTACTCATTCCTATTGAAATCGTCATCTTTCCTTTGCATTGGAAATCCGGCAATTAATGGAAAAGTGGACCAAAGTTGTAGAAAGTAATGGAGATTAGTTTGATAATTAAGTTTATATTATTCATCTATAAAGATTTCATCCATAAAGTTTGAATTTTTTTTGTGAAAGTAGGCTGAATAAATTTACACATCTAATATATACATATATATGTAAAAATCTTCCGCGAAAATCAGTGGAAATGTACGATCACCTCATTGAAAAATATAGAAAAAAAGTTGTTACTGAAATTATCTTATCTGTGCTCTCTATTTCCCAAGAAGATAATTTGATAGATTCATCGGTGGATTAAAAATCGGAGTAGCGTCATAATCACATGTATTTTTCCAAATTGGTTACGGAAACGCATGTCTCTGACATACGTTTTGTTATTCATTGATTTGCTATTCATTGATTTGCTATTCACTCGCCAGATCGAAAAATTTCCAATCGTAGTCGGCAAATTCCTTTCGCGCTTAATGTAAATAACATGCGTTACGATCGCACGACATTGCATAATACTATCACGATTGTTTGGAATCTAGATACGTATAATTATTGTATTTGTGTCAAGTAATAATGCTTGCAATCGTATTGAAATTGACATGAATGTGTTTTTTTTTTTTTTTTGAGCGAGTGATGAAATGACAAAAAATTGAAATTTGTATAACTCAATTGGGATTAATATTCATTTTGGTTAATTGATAAATGAAACGACGAAACAATCGAAGATTCTAATGATGCGATAAGGCTACCCTTCGACAAGAATATGATGATCCTTTTAATCAAACTGTAATCTAACAATTGACAGAATAATTAAGTCATTATTTCATTGTGAGTCATGTATCCTTGTCTTATCATGCTTAGCTCTATAATTATTAAATCGATATGTACGTAATATGTACACAAGTGTCATTAGTGATATTAACTTAATGATACATTCGGGTCTTCTATTTAAAGATACAATTAGTTCTTAAGTATTTAGATCCAAGCTTTCTATTTTTCTGCTGTTATTCGTAAATTAAAATTCTAAATTCTTTTTCTTTTCTTCTCTGGATAGACAATTGTATTCTTAATTTGGCATGAAAATACGTATCTTTGTTCTCCAATTAATCTAATTAACTCCAATTAATCTAATTGTAAAAGTTTAATAACATGAAATTTTAAAAATATTTTAAGAATTTGATTTAATCCTCTTTTAATTTCCAATTGAAATAAATAAAAATTGTCAAAAAATTAATTCAGTTTATCATCAGAAATCAAAGTCATTTTAAACTTTTCACAATGATTTTATATAATGATCGCAGTTGTAAATAATAACTATATTCATAGCACGTGAGATTTCTGACACATCGCGCATTAATGCCGGGTTAAGATTTTGAAATTCGTCAATGGTAGACTTTTATCGTTGAACTCTCAAAATTTGAGGATTTAAAATTATCTGGAGAAATAAAGTCTGGTTGTGCGTTGCACGTAGGATATACATTCATAGACAAAGATAAAGAAATAAATATTTCTTAAGATCGATAAGACAAAGAGAGAAAGAGGAAAAATACGTAAGCACACGTGTGACTGATGTGTCCGGTACGCGAATGCTTGGCACGAATGCTTAGGGTTAAGATATAAATTGAAATATCAAGTCTCTTGTTCATTAACATTGCGATTTTGCAGAGAAGCGAACTATCGACTAGTTGAAAGGAAAATGCATTGCTGAGACAGCGCGAAAAAGAGAAGGGAGATTGTTGTTTGAGTGACAATCCTCGATACATAACCTAGAAGGCAAAATGTCTCAATTAAACATCAGCACGGGCAAAAGAGGACGGGGTGTCGCGAGCACCTCTGCCTCGACCGTATCGGCCCTGAGCAGCTCCACCGACCTGGCGAGCCTCTTCGAGTGTCCCGTTTGTTTTGATTATGTGCTTCCACCTATTCTGCAATGTCAAAGTGGACATTTGGTGTGTACAAATTGCAGACCAAAACTTTCCTGTTGTCCTACGTGTAGAGGTCCATTGGGTATGTCAGATTTTTCTTTTCTCATTATCGACATCTCTTGGGTTTATATCTAACATTTAACTTGTATCGATGCAGGTAACATCCGTAATTTGGCTATGGAAAAGGTGGCGAGTAACGTGATGTTTCCTTGCAAGTACTCCACTAGTGGCTGCACTGTTTCGCTGGTGCATACGGAGAAGGCAGATCATGAGGATGCATGCGAGTTCCGTCCATACAGCTGTCCCTGCCCAGGTGCGTCCTGTAAATGGCAAGGATCATTGGAGCAAGTGATGCCACATCTTATCATGAGCCACAAGAGTATTACGACTTTACAAGGTACTATATTTTTGCCATTTTATTATTCTTAATGTAATTATTTATCAGTAAATAAATAACCGAATAAAAATTTAATGACTTTTAATTTAATCATGCGTTAATAATTTGTTTTATTATATACTGAAGAAGACCACATTTAGAATCGAAACATCTGATTGTTTATACTTAGATTGTTTATTATGTTAGATTGTTTATTATTTTATCAGATTGTCTATTGGCGTTATTTTGCTTATGTATGTATTTTGATAATTTAAATACATTACATTACATTATTAGTCTCTTTTATCTAGCTCGACTCGTATAGTCTGGTTATTTATTATGATTTATTATCCTTTGAGCCTCAATTATATCTAATTTATTATAATTATTTATATATTATATATAATATATTTTTTCATTACTTCTTCCAGGCGAAGACATTGTTTTTTTAGCAACTGACATTAATCTTCCTGGAGCTGTAGATTGGGTCATGATGCAATCTTGCTTCGGCCATCACTTTATGTTGGTACTTGAGAAACAAGAAAAATATGATGGACATCAACAGTTTTTTGCAATTGTACAATTAATCGGTTCCAGGAAGCAAGCAGAAAATTTTGCTTATAGGTAATTTTAAATCGTTATTTTTGCAAGTAATATCCAAGAATATCTTAGTAAATATAAATTCAATGATATATTTTTGTCTTTTATTTTATATTTTAATTTAATTATCATGTTCAACAGACTAGAACTAAATGGGCATAGAAGACGTCTCACATGGGAAGCAATGCCGCGTTCGATTCACGAGGGTGTGTCATCTGCGATTTTAAATTCTGACTGCCTTGTATTTGACACATCCATCGCGCAGTTATTCGCTGACAATGGAAACCTAGGAATTAACGTAACAATATCTATGGCCTGAGGAAAGCCAGAAAAAGCAGTGTAAGAAGAAGAGACATCAGTATCCAGACATATCGTGCAGTCCTCGAGATTGTGAGTGCGGTAAAGTACTCAGATGGGGCTGCCCGTTATGCACAAAAAATAGTTCTTTTTACGTTACCAGATAGATAGCAATACAGAGACGTTAGGGAAATGTTTCGAGTATGTTGACGATATGCAGCACTTGAATGCTCAGTGCAGAATTATTAAAGTGCAAAAGCTTTAAAGTATACTTGGATGTTATATCGATATAACATGCCATGTTGACATCACAGATAAATATAATAAATATCCTTTTGAGATATCCATGCTGTAACTTTAGAGCTTTGATACTGAGCCTGATATCGAATTCCGAAAGAACCAAGTACCTGATATCCGCGCTATTGTCATATTACTCTTACTCATTTCGTATCAAACTTTCATTCATCTCTTTAAAGAGATATAATACATTGTAAATTCTCTTGACATATTTTTTTGTTTGTGTTTTAATACTTCTGGACTTGATATGGCAAATATAAAGACTATTATATGAGGTTAACTTCATAAATTCACTATGAATCTCATTCTCAATTATCTCTTACTCAATTACTGCATTTCATTTTCCACTGATATACATTTTTATATTTACTGTTCTTTCTTAAATTTATTTTCTTCGAACTTCTAAAATCATCATACTTTCTTCTACTTTTTATTTCATTAGAGTATGCATATGTTTTGTATATAACGCGATAAATTTTGGTTTTTGTAGTTAACGTAACTGTTTTCTTATTCTATATTATGATGACACATATGATACCATGCTTTTTGTATGTGCAACTTTTACATACAAATAGCGGTAAAAGGCAGATCAACTTTTCATGATCTAGTCTGAGTGTCGAATCGAGATGCTAATATTTTTTACAATAGTTGTATTAACATGGTGTGGAGCAATGTTCAATTGCAGCAAAGTTCCTGTAAGCAAGATTAAAAAGGAAGTTAAAAATGACTGAAGCAATGATAATAAGATATAAAAAAATATTTTGTTTAAATTTTAAGATGCGTTGTAGCATTTTCTCTTTTTTTTTCTTGCAAATTTTATATTATATATATTAATCATATTATATTTATTTTTAAATAAAACTTATTTTATTAATATTGATGCAAAAACAAAAATTTTCCTTTGAATTATATTCAGTATTCACTGATTAATTTTCTTAACAAATGTCTTTTAAATAAGTTATATCTTATAGAGAGTACGATTCTAAACAGTCGTCCTCGCAAGATTTTTCTATAAAACTATAAAAATCTTTTTATTCTTGTGATTTGTACTTTGCATTAGATTCTTCCTTTTTACTGTTATTTCATATAACGTCCATAAATTTTGAAAAGCAATGAGATATTTAGCAGAGACAGAGCATTGAACCGAATTACATTGCAACGCTCGATAAATCAAATTAGATAGCAGAAGAAGTTGTACAGAGAAAATTGATTTCTTCGAAGGAACAATTTAGACTGAAATATAATTATACGAGTTGGCTAGGCTAAGTCTATAATGATTGATTATATATTTTTCATAAATTGCGAAAACTTACATGAATTTTACTTTTGCTAAATAATTCACGATTGTTGAAACGATCTTATCAAAAGTTCCGATATTGGATTAATATTGCTGTATTCTATATCATCAGCGAATTATGTGTCGGTTTAATGTTCTGTAAATATGATAGTGAAAAAGAGAAGATTCACAAGTGTATAGGCGAAAGCACTGTTATTGTAAATAAAACACGATAACTTAATATGTGATATAATTAATATGGGTAATATACATCACAAATTACATGCTGATATTCACGATGTTGGAAATGATTCGAGGGAACCAAGTGCACGGTGTGATACGCACACCGTATACGATTAGCGTGTATTATCATGCTTGTATGATTATATTTACGTCTTACAGGCGGATGTTTCATTTTGGTAGACTCAAATGAGAAATAAGCGGTTCTTGGCGGTTACAGAAAAATGGAAGAAGAGAAAACGAGATCGAACGCCTGAGTTTCATGTTGATTGTTATATCGTATTGAAATTGCAGAGAGAATATCTTCCCGATTTTTAGCGTAATTCGGCACTCGGTCGAGATTGCGATAGGCAGTGCGTCCTGTCGTACTAAGATCACACGATGAGACTAATACGCGCGGAAATTTTGCATAAATCGTTGTGCGACGGGGGAAGAATGCACGTTAGATTTTTTTCTCTGACATAAACGCGGTACTGGTCGGTGATCTAATGATTTATGTTCGAAGGAAACGCGTTACATTGTTAAGTATCTTGTACATACGATAAGATTAACGATATAGCGTAATCCTCACCCTTTAACTAACTAGTAATTTATTCTCTAGCATTCGCAAGAGATATGCTGTTTTACCTATTGCTGTTTTTACGAAACACGATCATAGAGAATGAATTTTTCGTTCGATTCTCTTGACGAGTATATTCGCAGAGGATTATTATGCAATATGTAATATTCCTCCCTTCAAAAAAAGAAATATAGAAATAAATTAATTGTGTTGTAAGCTGAATGAGAGATAAATAAGTGAGCTAGTGAGTGATAATACATAAAACGTTGAAGGCTTTGGAAATGCGCTGTCGTATGATAATAACGAGCGATAATCTCATCGTCATTTCGTTTCTACATAAGTCTAATTGCGCCTTATGTTAGATCTATTTTATTAAATTAGAATATTATTATTGTACACATCGGCATTTTAACTGATACGTTGAAATTATTATGTTATCTTGGATAATTTATTATTAAATGAGAATACTGTAAAATTATTTATAGGAAGCGGACAGTTTTACGTTTAGAGAATTCTCTTCCGAGGTATTCTCCTACGCACTTTCCATCCGTTGATTTTAACAAAACTTTTAGCTATTTGCGAGACGCTGTGCGAATTGCAATATGAAGAATATAATTACATGAATTACATGAATCTGTACATTTGGCACTGGAACGCCTGACATATCCCGGATAAATTCCCAATTCGAGTGAACGAGAACGTTTTCCTTTGTTTTACGACACAATTGCGATAATCACAGAGACGAGGGATCACCGTGAATGGCGAATCTACAATGGGATCTTTGTACTCTCTGCAAGACGTCTACGGAAAAGCCGGCGGTGCTCGTGTATATTCGCAGAATAGTATAATTGTCGAGAGGATAGCTTTATTTAAATATAAATGTATATACTTATATATGCATATTTATAGAATTTACAAAATGTTCAAGCCATGTATAAAGAGCATGAATAAATTTTTTTTATATATACTTTCCTATCACAGGCAATATTTTCTTATCCTGTATTTATCATCATTGGTATATAAGTTCATAATTAATTCATAATTGCAGACTTAGATAAAAAGTGAATAGAAATAATCATTCTCTATTCTTCATATGTATTCGCTATTGTATTTTTTTATATTTTTTTTTATTATGCACAAAGCAAAGATATTTTTAGAAACATTTCCAAAATTATAAGAAATGTCAAATATCTCAGAGACTTCTTGTCGTTAGGAAGAAAAAATTAATTTTGTATAATTTATTTATGATATTTTCAATTAAAAAACAGAAGTAACTACAAAAAGTTTCAGCGATTGGGAAATAAATAAACAAAACTAATGAGGTATTAAATAATGCAGCAATTTTATTTGTTAATGTATATCATATACTTCTGCAAAGATTTTTAGCAATAATCAATAATATTAGTACTTTTTGAGTATTGGGTTTCACTGACAGTTACAAAAATTAGAACAATTTTTTCATAATTTGAAAAATTAAAAATTAATGGGATTAATAATGTAGTTTTCTTAACTTCTTTTTCGGTTTTTGCAGACAGTCTTTCGTATATCGCGCGATATGCAGCAGCCATCTGCTTTTATCCAGCATTAAATGTTCTGTACACTTGTGCACGCGTACATTCGACAAACTGAACATATGATGTGACCACACGTGTCGTGAGTCACACCTGATTGTAATTTTTTCTCATGTGAACCTGAATTGTTTCTTTAGCTGCAATTATAAACTGATCAGAAAAAATGCGCTGGACACTCCCGAAACCGGTTTTTTATGCTTCTGCGGCGGCGACTGTTGTCGGCGTGGCGTATCTGACCAAGTAATATTGCCCAAAAATTTCTGAAACTGCCTATTCCTATCCTCAATGAGGATTAACTTTAATTCTCGATTTAACTTACTTTTCATTTTTTTTTAATTCTGAGAATTAGAAAAAGTAAATTAACATAGATCAATAGATTAATTTCTTTATATATTTATTATACTTTAAAACTTAGTATAACAGATAACACAACATGATTTCATATTAACATGTATATTTTTAATGTCTACTTCTACTAATATAGATTAATTTTAATCTTGGTTTAATCTAAATTTTTTTTTATCTCTATTTTTAAATCTAAAGAAAAGAAATAAAAAGGAAATTAAACTGAATTTAAAGTTAATTTATATTGATAATATAGAAATATAGACAAGATAGTGCTTTAGATTTTTTATTTTGTGATATAATAAATACAATTGTGTCAAAATTGCAGAGATCGCTTGGGAGGACCAAAATATAAGGGAACAGAGGATCTGACTAATAAAGTAGTCATTGTGACAGGAGCCAATAGTGGTATTGGAAAGGAAACAACTCTAGAATTAGCTAAACGTAATGCAAAAGTTATTATGGCATGCAGAGACATGGAAAAATGTGAAATGGTATTTATACCATTGTTAGTATATTTGATTTAAATAGATTTATTATTAAGATCATATAAATAGTATTAAATATGAATAACCAGCTTTTTTTATACCATTAATATCCTAAATTATTACTTTATTATATAATGTAATTTTATTCTTGTTCAGGTACGCCGAAATATTGTACTCGATTCAAAGAATAAATATGTTTACTGTAGGAAGTGTGACTTAGCATCGCAAGAAAGTATTAGAAACTTTGTTACACAATTTAAGAAAGGTGATTATTTACATATCTAGCTGGAAATTTCTGGTTTTTACTTAACATCTAAAATCTGTTTGTATTGTAGAACATGATAAACTTCATATACTTATTAATAATGCGGGTGTGATGAGATGTCCAAAGAGTTACACTAAAGAAGGTATCGAGATGCAGCTTGGAGTTAATTATATGGGACACTTCTTGCTTACCAATCTTCTTTTGGATGTTCTGAAAGTATCCGCGCCATCCAGAATTGTAAATCTAGCAAGCCGTACTTATCGTAAAGGACAAATAAATATGAAAGATTTAAATTTTGAGAATGATTATGATGAAGGTAGAGCTTATTCACAAAGTAAATTAGCTGTAATGCTTTTCACTCATGAATTGGCAAACAGACTAAAAGGTAATTTATTAGGATTAAGATTTTTTTTTTTAATTATAAATTTTGATGCAAGTAAAATATAAGTGTTGTTATAAGAATTGTCTGATTATTACATAGTATCAACTAAGTTTTTAATTAAGTTATTAGGAGATATTAGAAAATTATTTCTCAATTTACCAATTAAAGCATCAAGTTTGTTACTTTTTATTGGCAAATGTTATGTAAAAAAACGGAACTTATTTATAACCAATAGTAACCCTAATATTTTTTATTTTGAAATAATTACTGAAATATTTTTTATTTATATTTCAGATACCAATGTTACCGTGAATGCTGTTTATCCTGGTATAGTTGATACGAACATAACGCGACATATGTTTGTATATCGAAATATCATTACAAAAATATTACTCAAACCAATAGCTTGGCCATTTATCAAGGACCCAATGCAAGGAGCTCAAACTGTATTGTATGCAGCATTAGATCCTAGTCTTGCCAAAGTTTCCGGCTGTTATATACAGTAAGCGTCATCGAGAATTTAACAAATATTAAGAATATAATATAATATTAATACTTTATTAATATTTTATAGAGATAGTGAAATCGCAGAAGTATCAGAGGATGCTAAAGATGAAAATATGGCGAAATGGTTGTGGAAAGTTAGTGAAAAATGGACGAAGTTAAATGTTATGTAATTATATGATAAAAAAATGCAATTGTAAATTATCAATTGTCAGTTGAAATAAAGGCGTTTTGATATTATATTATTGTTTGACTATTGATTTGATTTTTTACTTTTGTATATGACTTTATTATTTGATTTTGGTGATTTTATTGTATTAAATAATTAGTTGTAGAACATATTTACACGTAAATATTTGTAATTTACATGTAAAACATTTACATTTTAAAGTTTATAAATTTTTTCGGACTTATCGGTAAACTATACACCTTCTTTACTCCAAGTAGTCGCGAATAACCTATAATTAGATTTTTAGTTTTCTCTGGTTCCCGCAATATGGCAGTTCTCAGGTAAGACTAGATTTCAATGTTATTGTTTAAAGTAAGTTTTAAAGAGTTACCTTAAAATGAAATAGTCCAATAGCTTGCGTATTAAATTTGCACTATGTTAATGCTATGTTAATTATAATCGTTTCATGACAATTGTTGATTAATAGTATCGTTTTATAGGATCGATCATTGACATATAATCGTGATGTTCCGATCATGGGAATCTGCGGACAAAAGCATAAGAAAAAACATGCTAAAACCGGGAATATTTGTCAAAAAGCCAACAGAATGTTCTGTGTGCATCATTGTTGTAGAGAAAATAAATGTCACCGGAACATGCGAAGAGAATTTGAAAGAGAAGTATCATTCCACTATTCTTGTCGGTGAATCTAAGAAGACAGTGGTTATAGGGGAAGCAAGTTCAGAAATCGATAGGAAAGTCGAAAGAGCGATTTGCATGATGAATATCAATGAGACGAGCCTTGTTACCATTGTCATGCCTGTACAATCAGATGTTGATGAATCTATAAAGATCCAGTTTGAAATCACGTTGTCTCTTTGTAATCGTCACAAACCAGTTTGGGAATGGACTCCGGAGGAAAAATATGAAGTAGCTTTAAGATATAAAGAAAGAGGTATGGAATTGTTCAATTGCTCTCGTGTTACAGACGCGTTTCACAAATTCAGCAGAGCTTGCAAGCTTTTGATAACACTGGAACCAATAACAGATTTAGAATTAGATAAACAGTTGGAGTACAATATTAATGATTTGAGACTTGCTCTGTACAACAATATGGCAATTTGTCATCTGAAGCAGAAAAACTATCAACATGTTTTGACACTATGTACCAAAGTTTTGGACAAAGATGGAAATAATGTTAAGGCCTTATATAGAAGAGGAATGGCATATGGTAACATGGGAGATAACGAGAAAGCTGTGGCAGATTTGAAGGCAGTATTAATCTTAGAGTCTAGTAATCATTTGGCGAAAGAACAGTTTAATCTCTATAACACCAAACTACAAGAATCTATTCAGAGAAATAAAGATATGGTGAGAAGGATGTTCAAGACTTGATAATTTTTAAATATACTGTGATTATATATATTAAATTCTTCAATGAAGAAAGGGAGTTTTATTTTCTAAATAAAAGAAATAAAATTATATTATATTATGAAATTTATATTTCTATTCATAACTTATGCCTAATTATCTTAGTTATTATTGTCACATTTAATTATTATCATAACATTGTATTATATAACATTATTTGTATCTTGTATTATATAACATTGTTTGTATCTTAAACAAATTAATAATGCGAAATCAAAAAAATTATTACTGCAGTTGGATGTGAATATACATAATTATTTATTTTATTAATTTTTTATTACAATATTAGTATAAAATAAGTAGCTCAAAGGTAAAATTATATGTTCAGTAAATATATATAATGCATCCTACGCAAGTTTCTTTTTATTATTACAAAATTTTTAATCAAGGTAACTTCGTCAATAATCGCAACTACAAATTATTCAATAGTGTCATGTTTGTATATTTTTAATTACATCACAACTGTGTAAAATGTATAAGTACTACAGGTTTTTTCATACAAATATCACTGTCTACAAATAACTTGGACAATCTGTTCGTTCAACCGTTATATATTTATATATCAGTTGCTAATTTTTTTTATATAAAACTGCATAACAATATAATTGCTTTAATATGAAAAAAATCGTTCAATCGATTTATGTACATATTATCTCAAGTCTGAAGTACGATAATGTGATGGAGAATAGTGATTTAAATATCAAGTGTAGTTGATGAACTTAATCACAAATTTGGGTCAATGCGCAATCGCCTGCTAAACTTATTTACTTTTATATAACTTACGAAATTACAAGTAAAATCTGCGATAGATTTCCATAAAATTAGTAAATAAAATTTAGCACGGGATACAAAATCTTGGTAACCCACAATTGAATTTTAATGGCACCGCTATAACCACCATGCATTTCTGCTAAATTTTATTATCCTACATACATTCCCATTTATAAAGTATCATGATGAATACGACTATATATTAATAATACAAAACTTAATCACTTGTATCTCAACTAATAAAACAATTGTATCAAGAATATGTTTAAAGCTGCCTAATATTTATGTTTGTTAATGGAAATACAAAAAGATAAAAAAAAACAATGCACTTTAAAATTTAGATTTATCACGTTATAAAGCAGCTATTATATTTTGATATATAAAGTATGTGTTAGCTCACATTTTATGTACGTCTACATTCATGTAAAGATTTCAAATACTTAAATTATAATGTTATTAAAACCACCACCAAGTACACTTTTAATTTTTGCTATGTCAGGAAAAGTACGATGTATTTTTGTATACGCAAAATTATATCATATATTTTTCAAAACAAAGTATATTATCTTTATTAACCCATAATTATCTTTCAATAAAATTTTCCAAGTTTAGTGTTATAATTTGTTAATGTACTTAAAAATGATAATTCTATGCAAGAATAAATAAATTCATTACTCTATCAAGTTTGTTAGATCGAATATAGAATATATTAATAATTTGGCAAGACTTGGTAGAGTTTTAATACACGCATATGTCAAATTTTATTATCAAAATTACTCATTGAACAAAATTCAAGTGAATGAAAAGGTTGATTATTTTTATACATTTTTATACATTTAAATCGTTTTTAGGTAAATGTAATATCACAAATTTAAAATAGTAATATTAGACAATTTTATTCAATGAGTACTAGGAAACGGAGTCGAGCATATTTACGATAAATTTGGTTACTATTAACAGTGTTATTGGCAATAAGACTTATATTATTCTTAAGTAGGTCAATATAACATTGGGCAACTTCGAGATATTGCATTTAATGAAGTCATATACTACAGCAATATGGCGTGTGAATATTTACGTCGAATATCTATGTTAATAAATTCTAAATGTTTTTATCACTTTTTCCAAACTATGCAGAATGTGAATAACGTCGTGCAATATGTACATTTTTTTCCTTTATTAAATAGTAGTCCAGTTACAACTCACGTAGCGCGTTTCTGGCACGAATGAAATCTGAACTTTATTAGTCCAAGCATGAATAAATAACACATAAAATAACAAGCGTTAAACGTAATCTTAAGAGCAAAACAAAATCCTTCTTATTAAAACAAAACATCCGAAATGCATTTTAAACGTAATGGATACAACAGAAAAAATGTATATACTTAATGGAAAAGAACAAAAAGACTTGTTACATAAGAACTTATTTTTCCTAACGTTTCGTAATATTTTCAAAAAATGCACTTTCCTACTTTTTAATAATTTCTGATAATTCTTTAAATATGTTAACATCCCTGTGATAAAACTTTCAAATCAAGTTACAATAATATTTTTCGTCAGTTCAAGATTTTATTTTTACAACATCCATATCAAGGATATAGGCAATATTAGTAATCACGATTTCCCTCGATCTAACACTGTTTTTATAATTAGAATACATCATATATACATTCACAGTCATTTTCAAATTAGTATTTCCAAGCCATAATGTTTAATCCAGTTTTAAACAGAGAAAACTATTCATGGCGATTTGTCAAAAAGAAGACGATATAAAATTTGGTTATGCCACTTCATATTAACATATAAGGATGCAATATTTCGATTCATTTGAACAATCAGGACATCGTGGGAATGAATATTACGATAATTTAGGCTTGCCATTGACAGTGACAGTGGCGTTCATTGTTGAATTCGTCACCGCCATTTCAGCAGCTTGCGCCACTGCTACAGACACTGACTTCTCCACAAATTGCTGGTAGATTGGCTTCATGAACTGAACAAAAATAAAAATAATTCTTTCCGTCATTATTGCACTATTTTATTAGTAATTATAATATATGATTGATTCTGTATAGTTATATGTATCTTTTTTCTAAATTTTGAAATATTGATGATTTTAGTTTTTAACTACAAAATGCAATATTTATTTTATGAATTTTAATGCATCAACATGGAAATAGTAATAGTTACATGGAAGAAATAGCTTTTTGATTAAGCAATCACAGTTATAACATTCGAGGAGAAAGATCAGATCGATGTTATTAGAAAATTGAACTATGATAATATATTTGATAATATATCTAGCCAAATGCCATACCTTTTGATATTTGCTCCTGTTAGCACTCAGCTTATGACAGGAATAAAAAAAAAAGACAATAAAAGAGAGTGATATTAATAGTTATGCTTCTGTTACTAAACGACTCTGGTAGTAAGAAAAAATGTGCGAAACATAGATGTGTAAGGAACATAAAGAGTCGAAGAGACAAGCAATTCGAAATTGAGATAATTAAGGACTAAAATTAGAAAAGAAAGAAAGCGTGTGATCAGATATAGCCATGTCTACGAAGATCGCGATAAGTAAAATGACATATAGGTATTGTAAATATAATTACGATAATAGATAGGATTAGGTATCTTAACGTATAAGTAAATTTATAACAAAGATGAGCGCATAGCCAGACCTGTTGCAATAAAAAAATATTACATGTTAATTGTAATGTGAGCATTGTATGAACATTGTTAATATGCAAGGTAAATATCACAAATATCACAATTGACAAGTGCTGTTTGTATGTGACATAGAGAAATAGATATATTTTATGTATATGTGATTTTAGTGCAGACTGAAATATTTAATAAAATTTTATGCTTTAATTATAATTCCTTTTTCATAAATCATACTTTAGATTAAATGAAAATCAGATACATTGGAACACGAAACATTACATGTTTGTAAAACTAATAAGTGAGTAAAAAAAAATCTACCTTTCTTAAATATTGTTTTTCATTAGTACACTGTGAACAATAATTTTTATCAGAATGGTTTTATATCCGATAAAAATTAAAAGTAAAAATATATAGAGAACATAAAGAATCTTTGATATTTAATCCCTGAAAAAGTGTTTATACTTACATTTTCCCATATTGTACTGGCTAAGTCGTCTATTTGTGTTCCGATTTCTCTAAATTCTCCACTATATCTAAATAACATCCGAATAAAAAATAATACTCAGAAATCGTAGAATGATAAAAACTTGATATATGTAATATTTTAACTTACCTTATATATGCCCATAGGACAAGTGTGAGGAGGCCAACACCCATAATAAAATTACATATATTTGCTATTGTGTACAGACCAACAAGACCAAATATTCCGGATAAAATGTACATAGTAACGGCAATTGCGAAAAACACTGCTGGCGTTCGCGCAGCCTTAAAGATATTTTTGCTTTCATTGTGTGCCTTAAATTGCAAGAAAGCTTCATCCATGTTCTGTATCATAAAAAGAAATAATTTGTTATGACAAAACAAACATACAGGAAAAGAAAAGATAAATTATAAATGAAAAAACTTTAGTAATTAATAAATGTACAGTAGTAGTTACTTTAATTAATTTTTCCATATATATTTGACTGAATTCTTCTCCGCCCATCTTTCGTTTATTCTGGAATTGACGAAGAGCTAAATCCACGCAACGTTGATGTTCGGATTCTAAATGAGCCGTTGCTAAAAATGGTTTCGTCCCACCGCATACATTTTCCATCATTTGAAGATACAAATCCTTAGCTTCTGCTACGGCAGTTAAATTGTTAGCTTCTGCTGTAGCCTGTAAATGCAAAATATAATTACTGCACTTGGGATTACTCTTTCCAGTTGAATGAAATAAAAAATTATTGATAAAACTCTTAAATTATAGAAATGTTGAAATATAGATATATTGAATTATACATACCACGAGCATACTTTTCGGTTCAGGAAGTTCATCTCCTTTGTAAAGATTAATGTAACTCTTGAAATATTCCACTAAATCTTTCGCTTTCACAACTTGGCCGTTGATTTTTTTAGTTACCAAATTTTCCGGCGCCAATATCATCGGTATGAGCACTTTCAATTGTTTTTTAAACTCGGATTGTATCTCGGATAACCTACCATCGAATTTTGGATTTGTTGCAATCTCGAGACCGGGATGCGGCATGAGGAAACACGAAATATCCGAAAAACAGGACTTGATGTGTTTTCGCAAGCTCTGTAATTCTGGATGTTGCCTGTCGGAAATTTCCAGTCTCTTGTCGAGCAACTTCTTTCCACCATTCGCACCATAATCAGCCTCGTATGGATAAACCCAGTCTCTGATTAAGAACTGCAGTCTCTGGAAAGGCGTGCTATCGGAACTCTCAAGTGCCAGTCTACCATACTCGGTGAACAGTTGCAGATGCTGAAGATCATCCTCCTGAATGTTTTGCGACAGATTGTATATCTGCACGGAGGACAGCATTGTACTCAATGCGAACACCGTTGCGCAATCTCGCACCGTTGACTGACTGTCGAAAGCGCCTTGAGTATCCATAAGAATCACAGCGATCTTTTCACCGTTCGCCAAGATAGCGGGATAAACTTTCGACCACATCAATATTCCCGTGGTGTCTCTCTCGGAACCACCCCTCCACGAAAAACCACTCAGCGGCTCGTCCTCGGCGCCTAACCACGTGTCGGCATCGTTGTGTAATATGTACTGTTGATCGCCGCGATGCGTAAATTATGAAATTCGTGATCACAATAATCGAGTTTGTGTCGATCCATGACGAATGAGCATGAAATAATACAAATTTGGTAAATATCTATTTTAAATCCCACTTAATACGCTCTTTTAATTTGAAATTGCAACAAAACATCAAATGAATATGCGAGTATCATCTACCTTGTTGTTCATGTAACGAAGAAAAAAGTCAAGAAGAAAACTTTTGCCTTTTCTGAAGGCACCTGCAACAGACACCACAACCACACTTCTATCTTTCACGTCGTCATGTAGGAGAATTTCAGACAATGCATCTTCATCTAATTCGAAGGTATGATCTGGATGAGCAAGTACCACTTGGACAGGCCGTCCACCATCCACGTCTTCTGTCTGTGCGTCCATCGGCGAAAGCCTTTCTATTCGATCGTTCTTTCCTAAATAATCTGCAAAAAGAAAAATAATTGAACAAAAACATTTCTATTACAGACGATGGATACAATAATAATAAAACCGAATCATTAGAATTAAAAGAAAAAGAACCAGTAAAAATGTTGCTAAAAAAAATTAATTTTATTTCTTTCAAACTACAAAATTTAATCAGAGCTGTCGATACACTGCCGCTCAAAAGGAACACGATGAATAAAAGGAAAAATATAATGAAGAAATTACACATATGTGTAATTCAACACATTACACATATGTGTAATGTGTTGTATGTAGTTCGTAAGTGTTCCCGGTGTAATTTATCGCACACGTGCAAAAACAAATAATCCAAGACTAAAACCGCCACCAATTACGTATCTAACACGTTGACCTGTGACATGTGCCTTCAAATCAGCTGAGACCGGTGGAGGGATTTAAATGCGAGCAATAGATTGATCAGAAAACTTGAATACACCATTAGAAGATTATGTCAATAAATATTTCGTCAGCTATTAAGTAGAAAATTGTTCAATGCATTTACTTATAATTAGCGAGATTTCTTTATAGAAAGTTTCTCTCAGACAGGTTACTCCGGATATCTTGTAGTTGTAGCTTATATCATATATATGTTATCACCATTATGTAATAAAACAAAATTTTTGAATTTTAATATTAAAATGTTCTTTTTTTTTTGAATAAATTCAAGTATTTCTCTTTACAGCGGTGTTTTTTGGTAAGCATAGAAAAAGTTGAGTTTCTCTATTAAAAAAAAATGATACAAGAAGTACCGTTATAATATAAAGACGGAATACTATTTTCAGATAAAATAGACGAAGTGAAACAAGAAATTCTCGTTCTCGAAATTGTTGCCGTGTAGTATAATAAGCTAACTACTCGACCGTTATTCGCGTCACGAGAGTCCATCGCTAATAATTATACGGCAAAAGGACATAGTGGGAAATTAGAACAAAATAGCTCCGTCATCCCATTTTTTACGTCTCTCTTGTCACAATAAAAAAAGATTGCTATTTGCTAGAACGTAAAAACTGTGTTTTAAATTAATATTTATATTATGCAGATAACATTTATTCTCAATTACTATTATTAGTCTCAATATTTTCATAATTCTTTTGCGTATATGTGGAAGTAAATAATGATATATGTTTATTACAAAACAAAAGAATATCTCTTATTGTATAAGTTTCCATATTAAAACGCGCTAGATTCGCATGAAGGAACTGATTTCATCAGACCTCCACATATCATTTTTATTAGCGATATCAGGAGATATCATGGCAAGCTGAAGTTTGATAATCAAATCAATCAGTTTGATAAACGAGAATCAATAAAAACGTACTTTTTATATCTCTTTTTGTTATACTATTTCTCCATTATAAAATACAGTAAAATTTTTATAAAAATCGATAATGAACAATAAGTTTAAAATAATGAGACAATAGTTAATACGATCTGAGTAAAGCTTTTTTAAAGCTTTTTTACAGTTCATTATTTTTACTAATGTAAATTAATTTCAATCTCGACATAACACTTACTTTTCATCTCTTTTATCTCTTTAATTCTAAGAATTAGAAAAATTAAAGAATAAATTAAACTGAAATTAAAGTTAATTTAAATTGGTCGAAATAAACATTAGCTCGGCAATATATTAAATCATAATATCATATTATATGACAAGCGATTTTCAGTGACATCACATGCTATACTTGTCATACTGAAGGCAATGCGCGATGTTTTCCATTTCATCATTCATGCTTTTTATTTTATAATCCGACGACTATTAATGTTATTATCAATGGTTATTTTACATTATTTTTTAGCAAAAAATGTTGAAAACATTTCAAACAAATATTATATAAGTACTAAACACGCTAAAAATATACATATCAAGAAATTATCTACACACATATATCTTCTATTTAAAATAAAATTATTAAAAAAATTTTATATTAAATTTTATATTAAATTAAAAAATTTATTTTTCATGAATAATATTTATACCTCGAGTGAAATCTTTTAATAATTCTTGATTGCGAATTTATCGAGATTGCTGCCAAATTATTTCAGGAGCACGGATATTTATATTTATGTTATCGAGAATTTCATGTTAAGAACCCTATATAATAACGTTCGAAATATTTATATTTCACTATAAATATGTATCTCCATAAGGAGATCAAGCGTACAGCGGATATTTGCAATTGCGAATAATGTTCATGAGATCAAGATCGAAACCATTTTTACACAATAAAATGTCGTTTCTTTCGATGGAGAACCTTCAACGATTACGCGTTTCTGAATGAACAGCCAATATATTATATTAATACGAATAATAATTCTATGGTCCCTCCCGTCCCCTTTCTCTCATCACTACTTCCACAAATCTTCAAACTTGAAGACTGTCAAGATCGACTTTTCGTTCCTTGTAATCGTACGCATCGTTACCACATTATTATTGTCGTAAGTACAAGATTATGAATTTGTCACCTGGAAACGGCGAAAAAAAGGGAAAACCAATTAACTAAAGTGTCAGAGTAAAAAGACAAGGCAAGAACTATCGAAGGACAATGTTGCCATACAAACACAAAAATATTTTATACGTTCTGGTTATTTTATTCAGTTTAACTTTGCTCCTCGTAAATATGTATAGGCATTTTTTTTACGCATAATTTACAGCATATCGATTACCGTATTAATAGTATATTGAAAAAAACTTCCTACATAACATATTTAAAATTCTTCGTGCAAACATGATATTGCAATAATTTTTTTTTTTTTAAAGAAATCAAATAAAAATACGCTATTATTGAGAGTTTAATAGGCTGTCATTAATAATGAATATTAATTATTAGAAAGATAAATTTAACAAGAAACTTGTGTCGATCATTCATGCGTTATGGAGAACATCAAGGAGAAACATCTTGCGGTTTTCGAGAAAATTTCAGATTTCCCGCGACTTAATAATAAACTTTCACATTACATCCTTTCTTTCGAATCGTTTGAAATACATGCGACCGAGATATTACGAGGACTCACGTGAATTCGAAAGAACAAGACGGCTTTTGCGGCGAACGATCTGGAAAAGTTGTGAACTCAGAGCAAATCTTTTGTAAGAATTGCAGGAAGAACTTGGGCGATGCCTAAGAAAACTGCTGGCCGCGCGAACTCGTCGCAAAAATTCGATCCAGCGAGTCAACGGGTCGCTTTTGTCGGTTTTCTTCGTATACAGAGAAAAATTTTACGAGAGAAAAGAGAGATCCTCGTGTGAGCAAAAAGTCGGTCATCGCTTCGAAATTCGCATGGAATCGTTACATTTTTAGAAGGCTTTCAGCGATACGACAACGGCTATGATCGGTGATGCGATTTACGAATGAGAAGAGCAAAGAAACGAATAGAGAAGCAAATTTAAACAGCAATCGAAGAGATATTTAATCGATTGAGAAAAGAAAACTCACCCATATTTTCGATTGTCTTACGCTGTTGTCGTGGTACACGATTCACGTTCTCGTCGAGGGTCGTCATCGGGGCCTTCTCGGCTGAAAGCAGATTTTTAGAATATGTTTAGATTACTTTTGATTATTTTGTTATTATCATACTTGTTTTGATTATTGTCATACTCATTTAACGAAAATTTGTTATTAAACTGTCAAAAATAAATCAAACAAATCATAATTAAATCGATAATTAATCATCGACATATTTCAGACATTCAATAAACTTATAAATATAAAAATAAAAATTAATTTATCATAAATAAATCTAGTTGTTGAAATTAGTGTTTCCAGAATTCTCGCAAAAATTTCAATAATTGTTATTATGTTATTGAATTTATGAAAGCATCTTCTGTTGTCTTATGATTATTGTGAAAAATATTTCAGGGTTCAAAAAGGGGGAAAAAAATTGGTAAACACTGATTCAAACAGCTTTCTTGCGGATCAGTCAAAACTATCGCGTTTCCAAAAAGTCATTTGATAAAAACTAACTCGGTTTCTCTTGCGGTTCCATAAACATGCTACGTTGCGTGTCATTTCTAAAATCGGAATTGTGACTCGTCAGATTTGCGATCTGTTGCGTTCTTGTTCTCGGCGGCCTCGCCGGTTCCTTTGGTACTTCCGACCTCTCCGACGGCCTTGACCCTTGAAAAGGATCGTTGAGCCGCTTCCGTCTCGGTGTTACCATTTTTTTATCGGCCATTTTCTCTCTTCTCCGACTCTCACATTCGTCACCGAATCGACACGACACTTAAGACTCGACAAGAACAAAACGATTAAATATGCGATTAAATACACTAAAGATATGCGAGGAGAAAACACACGGCGCATAGATGCACCATGCACACACGATACTCGGGTACTAAGTCCGCGAAGAGAGCCAGACTAGAAATATCCCGGTCGCTGATGATCGGCACTCTTGAGGCCGTGCGTGATGGCAAACGTCGCAAGTTGGCAGCATCCCACGAGTGGCGATGCCGATAGAAGTCAACTGACACAATCGCAGAAACGTAGTGGGGTATACACATCAGCGCTGCGGGATTTTCTTCAAGTTAACGCATACATCCAGAGTCAGATACAACCTTACATCACTTGGAGAAGTCTCGAACTATATATTTGAAAAGTACTTTGTAAAAAATTTATATTTAATCCAAACTTCTAATTTTATTATTGTTAATAAAAAAAGAAAAAAAAGAAAAAAAAGAGATCCATCATATTACAATACTAAGATCCTAATTATTATTAAATACGTATAATTAAACAATACTATAAATTAAACTTTTGTGATTGTGTGATAAAAGAAAAGAAAAGAAAAGACAAACAGGTCAAGAACGAAAAAAAATAAAAGTTAAAAAAAAAATTAAATTTAGCTGTACAAAAAATAAAATTGATGATCAATAAATATAATTAAAAAAAACTCATTCTTTTATTCTTAGCCTATCTTGTTTTTGTTTTTCTTCCAAATATGAGTTATCATCTTGTTTGTTTTGTGTCCAACTTTTGCCAAGATATATGAATACGTCGTTTTCTGACGTCTTTTTACATTTCGATTTTATATCGAGGCAGGAATAGATATAAGTTAGTACGAAAAAAGATGATATAATGATGATGATGAACAATCTCAACGTCTTCGTGTCAAGATATTACTTCATGCGTCATCGAGTTCAGCATCACTCGCCACATTACAAATGGATTTAATTGGCCGAAGAGAAAGGAGCAAATAGGGCGAATAGGAGAGTAAAACGGAGATGATCATACGTTGCATTCATCCAAAAGATACCGTTTTATGTTCCTAAAGTGTATAATATTGTCGAGCGTAGGTCACAATTGTGAAAGAATACTATTACGTAACGTGTTACATCATTGTGACTTTAGAGACTTAAAGACCGAACGAAGAATTTAAATAAACGAAAAAGATGAATACTATTACCATAGTATTACCACTTGAAGTAATTTGTTCAACATCTTACATTTTATACAATATAAAAAGATCTATTTATCTTTAATCTATACCTTATATTATACCTTATATTATTAAATAATATTACAGCAATGAAAGATATTTCGTTTCCTTAATAAAAGTAGAAGTAATAATAAATTCGTTATAAAGGTAAAAATACAAAGAATATTTAATAACATTTATAAATTAATGTCTATGCAACGAGCAAAGTTTAGAGATCTGTTTGTGCAGTGTAAAAACTTAATTGTGCGGCAATGAAATTATCATTGATATCAATCACAAAGAAGTTGCTGATGCCATTATAATATGATGCTTCGGTATTTCCTTCGGAGTAACTTGCTATAATACTCATATTCTATCAAGGTCGTTATGAAAAATAATAATTACTATTTTAAAATTTTAATGATTAAATATAATGTTTTCAATGTCTTAATCTGTCTCACTTAAATAGAAATGAGCTTTGGCAAGATTCCATAATTTGCAAAACGCCCTGATCATTTCTAATTGCAATGTTTTATGATTAAATTTTCACATAATATAAAAGCAGGCTGTGTAATAAATGGAAAAAAATAACTATTATAATTAAAAAAATTCTTATTTAACAAAATAACATACAAATTTTTTTACAGATCGTCAATGCTTTCGTCTATAAGAATTTTTCATTAATTTAGAATTTAGATTTAGAATTAGATTTAGATTAGAATTTAGATAAGAAAAATTTTTTAAAACAAAATAATGGATATCAAAAAATCTTGCGAAAAAAATTATAATAATCAGTTTTGAAAACGAGATTAGAAAAATATGTAATTAGCGATGCAACGTAAAAATGAAACGCATTACCACGCTAGGTAATATTTCTTTTGAAATATCATGCATGTACCTTGGACTTTCTGACCTTTGGTTCGGTTTACGTATTGCTTTTTGCTTGGATTCGTGACATGTTACATGACGTACCGCAGACCGTAGAAGAAATAACGAGTTTAAGTTTAAGTTTAGAAACGGACGACACGAATAATTTCGTATGCTTGTATTCGCGAACGCCAACTAAGAAGAAGATCGCGCCATATGTCGCAAATATTGGCACCGCATCCTCACGAAAACTTTCAGGCCTCATAAATGTTATAAGTAGAAATTATCAGCTATATAAGCAATTATTCAATTTATTGTTGATTTGGATACACAATCTAATAAAACTGCGTTCAAATATTTGAATATCCTACATATCTTACATCCCACATATTTAACGTTATGACGTAAATTTTAAAAATATCGCTCATTTCTTATTATCGAATAAAAAACTCTCATGACATTTTAGAAAAATTTCAATAGTCGTTTTTTTCGTTTTTTTTTAATAAAAATATATTATTTTTTTTAAAATATTAATATTATCTTATTTAAATCGTAATATATATGTTTAAAAAAAAGATAAAGATAAAGATATTAAATATGGATGTTTATGTAAATCCATTTTTCTCGAATAGTTTAAGTTCTGCTCACCATCGATAGTTTTCTCTACTTTTAAGAATATTTGTTGACGTTACGCGTTGCTTTTCTACTTTGTGCGATTGTTAAAGCGCGATTTACGAGGTGACATCCTCGAGCAAATATAATCAAAGTCAGTGGCTACACGATGAGAATTTTACCAATGAGGATTTTAGATTGGTATCCGATTTGTACGGAAGTTTGGTAAGCGCGAAGTTAACGATTGCGATGGGCGTTCCACGTCGATTTACGATGTGCTTTCCTAAGATATTTATTTTACGAAGGTATATCCCCGCCACGGCATTTACACCATGCGGAGGCAAATGTTTTACGACAAATGAGGGTTTATTGCGAGGAGGAAAAGCTGAAAGCGAACGGGATCAGTGAACATAAGAAATCGCACCCCGCTTAAACGAACGTGAGTTAGGATTATTGTGGCTCCTTCAAGCATCTCGGTTATCGTTAATCTCGTCCGCGATGCTATCCGCCATGGAGTTTATTTATATTTCCATCTCCTATATACCCGAGCATAACCGCGACTCCCGAAGTTTATGCAACGCCGTACGCAGTTCGGTTATGAGCTTTGCAACTCAAAAGGTTCTACCCAATTGCAATTTTGCGAATTGCAACCGGCAGGTTCTTAAATCTTCGTGACAGCGTTATGCTGAGTGAAATAAAATATCATAACTGTTGGAGCAAATCATTTCTTCACAAATACATATTAACGTCACAAATATTATCACAAATATCATCAATGAAAATCATCGATAAAAATTTAATAACTAAACTAATCCAAAACGATATAATTTAATAACTAAATTAATTCAAGACGATATAATAAATATAATTTCATATCATTGATTCTTGTCTACTCTGATATAATTTATATGTATAAAAAGTGAATCACTTTTTTATGATTTTATGAGAAAATTATGATCTGTATCGATTTTCCGAATACAAGAGACAAGTTTAATTATGAAAGATTTATTGGTCTATTGTAATAGACTTTATAACGGCAGTTTTATTGCAATTTCCAGCTAATTGAGTCGCATCGTATACACGCGGTTGTATATAGAAATCAATATCACTGAACTTTCTTCTTGTAAAGGCCACACTTTACAAAGTTACTGCGGAATAAGTTAATGCGTACCTTACTCTCTTGTGTTGCGCGATAAAAAAAGAAGAGAAATATGCCTCTTTCTCCTCTCCTGCCATGTGCAATTGCACCTATGCTCGCCTTTACTGCAAGCCCCAACTAACTCGAACGTACCGTTGCGTGGGTTACGAGAGAAAACGGCAGAAATATGGCTGTGTCTCGAAAATGCTGTTGCGATCGCGTTTTAAAGCCCCGAGATTGCGGCGTCGGTTACGCCTACAAATGTATTACGCGAGGTTCACCTTCCTTTTTTTTTTTTTATTTTACGACCTAGATGCAGCACCATTCGGAACTTTGAATACAAAACGTTATCGCGCGGGAGAGGGCATAAAAGTTCTTTATGGATCACGCGGACCACGCCAATCCCCCGCTAAATCCTTAAATACTGACTCCCTCGCGATGAGCTTTCGAGCTTTCTCTCACGCGGGGAGGACCCGCGTTTTCGCCGTGGTATCGCCGGATCGCGATTATGACGCACGACCGATTGGCTTTCGATTCATCCGACTGAATAATGCAAGTCTAATTAGCAAAGTGCACAAACGCGAGAGCGTTTGATGAATCCAACTCGTGCGGAGATATGCAGTTTACATGTTAAGTATGTTATGTATGCGCGCGTATTGACGCGCCGAGAACGAGCATTTGTGTTGGCTCGATTGTCAGAGCTCTCATCAGCCAATTGACATCCTTTATACCAACTTTACTTTGTATCACAGTTCGAGTTATTATGACGTGAACAAGAATACAAATTGATACGCTGTACTTACGTCGGATTTTTTCTCGCTTCTCAGATATTACACAATTACGATTAATTTTCCCCTAATTAATTTCTCCCAATTAGAATATCGTGTCACATATCGTCGCACAGTTGAAAAAACAAAATTAATTGGCAAATCAGAAGGATGGAAATGTAGAAAAACCCTGTGTTATAATACCTGAAGAGTAATAATCTAGTCAATTTCAGTTCCAAGCGGATGCAAGAGAAACTCTGAAGAAGGAACACAAGCCATAAGTCATTACGAGAAAATAAAATAAAAATTACGATCGTACATGTTCACGTGTCTGCGAGTCATAGATTCGAGGTATAGCACGCCGGTGAAACTTTTCTCTTGTCTAGGTCTAATCACGATCTAGCTATGTCTTGCCGGAATACACGGAAAGAAGAGTTTTATTGAAGTATCTAAAAATCTTACTAGATATGAAAACTGAAAATAATTTCGTTGAGTCATCAAAATAATTACACAGGATATTTAAATGCGATGAATATACTGCAAAAATTTGATATTCGATCAACTTGAACATCCTACATAAATATTTTGATGATCCAACAAAATTTTCAGTCTGATATAAAATTTTTAGATACTTCAGCAAAATCGTTTCTTCGGTGTAGAGAAAGGAGAGGGAGTGACACAGCCCACAAGTGGACGGCGAAGTACCACGGGAATCAGCTTCAATTAACTCAGTGAATTGTCTCGGGGTTCACTGTGAGGCGATGTAACGCCGGACTTCCGGCTAATTTATTGCGGGCGGCTCAGAAATTTATTGTGAGGCGTTGTTTCCGTCCGCGGCGACGGAACGTCGTAAACTATCGGGAAAGCGGGGCCCGGTTCGTTTCCATCAGACGTGCATACACGGTCGGACGGCAGGCAAAGCTATCGATGCTATTCAATAAAACAGACTCCACGTCAGGCTGAATAGGCATACCAATATGCAATTCTCATTTCCAATCCCGGAACGGCCATGCACGCGTGTGCGTGCAAGCATGCGTGCGTGTTATTAGAGCGTTGCGTCACTTTGAGCGTGCCGACGTGCTTTTCCCATTCAACGTTGTCACGCGGGATTTCATTTAATGCGGAATAATATTACGACTTCCCGCTGCGAGCGAGAGAAAAAAAAAGAGAGAAAGAGAGAAGGAGACATCGTCGGCACAGGACAACGTTACAAGAGAAAGAGTGGATTCTCCGCGTGTCTCTGCATCGACGCGAAAAACGCGCTCGCTAATTTTCCAACGAGAGATGAAACACACACACACACACACACACACACACACACACACACACACACACACACACACACACACCATGCGCGCGCGCGCGCATCGGTCGCGTACGCGTGGCTTGTCGCTGGATTAAAGCGACACGTCGATTCTAAAAAGAGCAACTTCGTTATAACATACGAGCCCACGTTCTCGCGTTTCCTCTCGCGCGCGCGTTGTTTGTCGTCCTTTGATACTTTTAATTCCGGAAATCAAATCAGTCAACGCCGAGCGAGATACTCTGCAACTTGATTATCCGCGTCGCGCTCTTTCCCGCGCACGCGTTTACTTTTTGTTTTTTTGTTTGTTTTTTTTTATTTTACTTCGGTAATACATTTTTGTCGGCGATAGAATAACGCGCGTCTGGAGAACGTAACGTTTCCTCTCCATCTGTAGTAAATAAGCGGATACGTGAATTATATTAATTTCACGGATATTCTCGGAGAATCGCGGTCTCTTCCATAATCACGCAATTAACCGAGACGTAGATTGTAGATTAATACCGATCACGCCATTCTTCGTAATTCCAAAGTTCTCGAAGCAAAAAAGTCATCAGTCACGGCACATTTTCAAAGATCGTAAGTATAAACTTAAACAGATCCTATCACTAATTTAACTTTTTTTAATGAAACCGAGAAAAACAGGAATCGTGTAATTTTACGTTGCGTTGCTCCTTTAACACAACCATACATTCGTACGATGTATGCTCGAGCATTCTCTTCGAAGTGCTGCTCAAGCACGTGACGTGAAGAACGCAACATGTTCATTCCTGGCAGAAAGCACGTACGGCAACGTGTTTCGACATTCTTTCACCGTGTCATTTCCTGGTTTCGCTCTAACTTTACATTAAACTCGATCCATCGCGCTTCGTGATGCTATTCGCATTCGAGGAACGCTGCATTCGATTAGAATGACTGTTGTTACATGCATACATTACGTCAGTGTTAGCTCATCTATGCCGTGCAACAGTCGCATTCGACTTGGAGACCTACCGTCGTTCCCAAGGTGCCGATGACGGAATCGTTGCGTCGTGTCGATCAGTTCATCACCCAATGTTTCGCGGGATGATGGGCAACTTTTAACCTTGCTGACTAATCGAACGCAAGGTCGCGTGGATATACGTAGCGGACACAAAGCTGTCTCGCTTTCGCCGCGAGCGGGCGACACCTACGAGAATGCGAAACCACCATGGAATCCAAGAATCACGGTAGGCATCCTCCGTTTTGACAGGATCTTCCCGGCTGATACAGCACCGACGCAAGAAAGCGCGCGGTATTTATAGATGGACCGCACGCGATGACGACGATGCGTTTTCCCGGTTGCGAGCATGTTATAACCTCCACGGGAGCGTCGCGTCGATGATTATTCTCGTTATCTCGAGCTCAACAATGCAAACGCACGGCCTACGCGCATTTCATCTTTCGTTATGAAATTCGAGCAACGTCATTCCTCTTACTTCTTCTATCTCTCTCTCTCTCTCTCTCTTTCTCTCTCACTCGCTCGCTCGCTCACTTTTGTCGCGCGTCTCGTTTCGTCTTCTACCATCGTGATTTGCGGATTTACACATCGCGTGTTCATACCGGTCACTAGTAGACGAGGAAAACGGAGATTGTGTAGACACGGCGAACACCCGGTGAAAAAAATCGACGATTCCGTCGGCGGAATCGGCGCGAACAAAGTGTCAAGAGACATGGGCTTGGCATGTTCTGTGCGGCCGCTCGCACATAGCTGGCTTATGTTGGAGAGCGCGCGATGAGTTTATCGAGGACACGCGAGCGATCGACGGCAGGCGACACTTCATTGAAACCTCTCGCGATCGACGGAGACGAAAAATCAAGAGAAATACTCACCCACATACGAGCTGCCGTAGTCGCCGTACTGTTTACGTTGTCCAGCGTCCGCCATATTGCGCCGCGCGTGACGTCACTTCCGCGACTGCGCGGCGCCGTCAGTCGCTCGTAGTTCTACGGCAAACTTCGTTTCGTCGTTCGCTCGTTCGCGCACGCCGGCGCGCGCAGTGCGCGCAGGCGCATGCGGTCTCGTCTTTCGGTAATAGTAAACGGCGTATATAATCGCCGTTCGAACGTTGTTGATCTCAATCGGACTCTCGAGACTTTCTCACGGCGGGGAATGCGTGCGGCTGCTATCGCGCGATTAACCTCAACGATCCTCTGGGAAACGCGATTCCGTATCGTCCTGAAGGATCCTCGTCGAGAGTTTAGGTAATCGATCAAGGATGTTGATTCTCGACGGACGAAACGCGGATTTTACATGAGCGTTTTTTATTTATTTTTTGTTTCGTTACATTGTTTCGTTAAGATTCTATCAATTTTACAGATTATATTCTAACAAGTTGACTATTCTAAATTCACGGCTGCGATATCGAACGGCTTGAATTACGAACTTATGTTTACAAACTACTTAGGCTGTGCGCAACATGGAGAACAGGGATAAATATTAAAATTTGGATGTAAAAATTAAGAATAAAGATGAAACGTAACGCACAATGGGCATAAGCTATATTTTATATTTGTTTATGTTCATTATATCTTATGTTTAATCTCTATTCCTAATTTTTATTTTCAAAATTTAATCTTTATTTTTGTTATAATTCCTGTGCCTGTTTCTTCATTGTATGCAGAATCTGAAATCCGGTTGTATCAATGATATTTTATTTTTAAGCGAGACTTAAATCTTTAAATTTGTTGTATCAAAGTAAAAGCGAAATCTAAAAAGTGCTTTAATTTGCACTAATTTTAATAAGATAAGCGCAAATGAAAGCACTTTAGCTATCGCTTTTGTTTTGATATAACAAATTTAAAGTTTTAAGTCTCGCCTAAAGTCAATATAGCGTTGATGCAACCTTGGGCCTTAAACCGCAAATTTGACAAAAATTCTATTCATTCAATAAGAACATTTCGAAATTGGCGAGAGTATTTAGAGATGAATTACTACGTGGGATGAAAAATAAAAGTTTCGAGATTTCATCTTTTCGCTCCACCTGGCGAGCGGCTCTACGCTTTTCGCAACACATCTCCTTCCTCTCGATATCCTGTAGGGACTTGTCGCCGCACCGAAAGATGGCGGCACGGTTTGCCCGGCGCGTCACATCTGCGCTCGATAGCGCGGTCTAGGTATTTCATATATAGGAGTTCGTGGCCGCGGATACCCCATGGTGGAACGTGGATGCTGTGCGCGGTGGTTCGCGTCCCGTAGACGCGCGAATACGCACGACGACGACAATACGCGGACGGCCGTGCCCGTCGACGACGTCGACGACGTGCGTCTGTGCCCGCGACGTACGAGCAGCAGTCATCGCGTTATTCTTCGTTGTTAACGTTACCGCGAGTGACAGCCGAGACGATGCGACCCGCTAACAGTGGTCCGCGTTGCGCCGTGCGCGTCGACGATCGCAACGCGCGACCAGCCAGTCCCGTGGAATGGTCGACCACGACGAGTTGGTAAACAAATCTCGAGTGGTGATGGACCCGCGAAGAGGGAAGGTTGCGTGAGAGAAAGAGAGAGAGACTTAACTTTGTCGCCGAGAGAAGTGACGCCAGCGGTGGAGATTGAATAAGAAACGCGCAGTGTTTCGCGGCGACAGTGGAAATTCAAACGACGATCGGCAAGACATCGGTAAATAGGACAGGAAGGAGAAAAAGAGATAAACACGCCGCGAATCATCTCATTCTTGCGTACGTGTGTGTTTGTGGTGAGTGTGTGGTGCGTAATTAAAACGAACTCGAGGCGCGCTTTTTTTCGTGTGTCACTGCGGACTCTTGTCGTGACATTGTTGACGCAGGTGTGTGACGAGCATATACTTGACGAGTTGCGCGTATGTCCGAGTTCAAACCCGGCGAACTTGTCTGTCGACCATTATCTTCGACCGCCGCGTCGTCCGCGATTTCGCGCGAACTTCGTCCATTCGCACGTGATCCGTGCTGTGAGTGTGGAACTTTGGCGTGGCGCCGCCGGCCCTTTAAATCGCCCGGGGCGTGCCCCCACTACGATGCGCGCGTGTAACGGTGCCCCGGAGCCCCCTCCGGCCATTTAAATCCCACGAGGTCGGTCGGCTGATCGACCAACTGGAAACGACTTCCCGACGTTTAAAGGGCCCCGAAGTTTTGATCCCCGTTCCGAACTCACGACGCCTTTCGCTCTCTTTCTCTTCGCCTGTTTTTTTCCCCTTCTCTCTCTCTCTCTCTCTCTCTCTCTCTCTCTCTCTCTCTCTCTCTCTCTCTCTCTCTCTCTGTCTTTCTCTCGCTTTCGATGTCGCCGTTTTGTTATGGCGCCGCGACCAGTCACGCGCGCGAGATCGTAAATCCCCGCGTGGAGATTCACGACGCGACGCTTGACCGTGTTTTGGCAGTGATCACCGAGAACCACCCCCTGCACGTCGCCTCTTCACCATCGCCACCATCCTCTTCTGATCTGCTCGGCCGCAGCCTCGGGACCGAAGAGTTATGTAACGCTCGCCGAGAAGCCGCCGACCACTGAACCCGCCCGCCCGGCTCGGAATGCGGGATTCCTTCGCAGTTTTCGGCGAGACGTGTTTGGCTTCGTGAGTACCCAGCCTTTTGTTTCCCTCTCTTGGCCATCGTTAGCGCCGGCGCGAATCCTGCTGTGGATTCTATGCGAAATTAATCCCTCGAACACTGCGAACGCGCGCAGACGGGACGTTTCATATGACGAGTATTTATTACGTTCTTTGTCGCAAAGCAGGTTTTTCAACTTATGACAATAAAACTAGATTAAAATTTATGGAATTGGACGTCACGTTAATTATTGTTTTTTTTTTTTTTTCTAAGAGGAAATTCCTACAGAGAAATAGTATTCAATATAAAATATTCTTACATTATCTTTACAATTTGCGCTTGGTATTAAGAATTAATTTCGCTACGAGGTGCCAGAGAGGATGAATTATTTAGTAGTTAAATATTATAAACGTATTATATTTATTTTTATTCGATTATAGTTTTTCCAGTGAGGAAAGAGTGATTTAAAATATTTTTTAAATATAATTCATTCAACGTTGATTCCATTTTAATGAGATCTTAACTGTAACTTCCGCTATTAAGAATTTGAAATATGAATTGATGCGTCTACACATGCCTCGTGTTATGTGAAAATTTAAACTCGATGCATATGTATATTTTGTATGAAACTCTAAAGTAACTATACATGTATAATGCCCGTTGCTGAGATATTAAAATATTAAGATTCAATCGATAGCTCATTTTCTCGGGCGCATAAAGCGACTTTAACGAGTTCGCGATTGTTGTCGACGTGATGCGCGCAGCTGACGTTGCTTTTGACTGACGAAATTCCAGTAAAACGAGCGAAATTCTAGCGGACGCATCTTTGCGCGCGCACGTAGAAACGAGTTTCAGAGGAAGCGTGTATGTACCCTCGCTACGAATATCGAATAATCGCCGTGTGTGATAGTCGATACCTTCGCTTGTTGTCGACGCTTTTTGCCTTGAGCAACACGCGTAACGAGAATAAAAACCGAAAAGTTAATACGTGTGCACTCTGACGCCATATTGTTCGAGGAAAATGCTGATAAAAACCAGGATGTGTATAGGCAAAAACCCGTAGTAATTTAATGTTAATTACTTACGTTCGCGAACGACCTTTCCCCCTACTCATTCGCACACATTTACATTTAATTTTTCCTTATTCGTATTATGCAAATATGTGTGCAAATTATTAAGCATTACTAAGCATTTTTGATAACTTATCTTTTTTATAAGAGATATAAATAAAAATTTAGTAGTAGCTTCTTTATCTTGCTTTATTCATATCAAATATTTGTATAAATTTTGTTTTATCCTTACCCATTAAACTGGATTATACCATACTTTTGATTTTTTTCAAATGTTTGTTGTATTATCTCTAAAAATCTCATATAATTAATGTAAATGCAAGAGTTCGCGAAATAATGAGTTCGAATCCGTAGATTTGCTAGGCTTAACTCATTGTTATTTCTGCAGAAAGATATTTTCGAATTATTTGTTTCAATTCACAAATATATCTTGATTGTATCATCCACATGATTCTTGTGACAATCTTTTTTTTTCTACATCGTTAAGGACATAGAAAATTTATTTTATCTTACTTATTTTATCTTACTTCTATTATAATTCTCTTGTATGATGACTAGTGATATTCTTGATAACATAATTTTTCATTCATTAAGTTTTACAATTACAAATTATCAAAAAAATCTACATCGTGCGAATAATTGTTAATTATGTGTCTCGATAATGATTTTAAATTAATTTCATCGTAAGCCGCTCGACTGACACGATTCGGAATCACACCGTGACCATGTTTTTGCGAAGTATTTTTTATCTTATCTCATGAGCACGCGCCGCAATTATTATTGAACGAAGTCACTTTAATACCGTAAATAAGAGCGAGAAGAAAGATATCGATGTCGTCGCAGGCACGGTCTTCTTGTACGTCGTTTTTAACCACGAACACATTAAGATCCGCGAAACCTCACGGCTCGCGGAGATGCCAAATGTTGTGCTTAATAGATTCCCGTTGCCAAGGAGCACAGCCAGCTGTGGGATATCAATTTATTAATCTGACTTCTCCCTGAGAAACGGGGTCAGAGCTCGAGTCGCGTATTTTTCGTGAGCGATGGTTAATTTCTACGGCAGGGAATTTTCTAGGTACGTTACACGCTTAATTGGAGATACGCGGATATTAATTGATAGATTATATCAGTAAATTATTGATGGTATCGAGCGCTAATAAAGTTTCGACGATCGTTGTCTGGATACGTTCGAGACATGTAATGCGCGCGAATCGATCCTGCAGCGAACCGATTCGCGAGTTATTACGTTGATATTTTTCCTCCGTACTATTTATAGTCGGAGATATTTGTTTATATTTGTCCTAAAAAATACGACGCGGTGGTGAAAGCTCTATCGGCAGTCGGCGCACGATGCATAGTCGTAATGAAAAGCCGTGTGCCATTAGTCCGCGTGTCGCGGCCGGAAATGGATGGCTGTTTTTTTCCCTTCCTTTTTTTTTCCCCCTCGAAAATCGCGTGACATTGCAGTACCGCGACCCGTCACGTGCACGCGCGGCGTTTCTGATATCGCCGCCGACCGACTGCATGTAAAATGCCCGCCATTCTCGTTCTCGCGACGTGCATTTCGCACGAACGAACGCCGTGAAATCCGATTGAACGCGTGCCATGTGTAATGTATCATCTTTCCGTTACGTTCTTGCCTGAAATTTGTGTTCTACGCGTATCTTTAAATATTGATTCAGCCTTCCTCTGGACGGTGATGTGTCATACAGATAGAACAAGCGAATCTGGTTAAAATAATATAATAAAATAATAAAATAATTTCTTAGATACTTGGCGAAATAATATTGATGGTGTATTAAGGCTCGGATACATTGTACAATGCAACATATCACAGAGTAAGCAATTCTTCTCAATTAAATCTCTGATTTGACTTGAAACTTGGAACAAACAATCGTTTCTCTAACCAGCCGCGTAAAATCGTTGCTCTTGTCATTTTCTCAAGCGTATCGTACATTCTCGTAAACAGGGCGTGAATCGCATTTGGAATTTCGTCCTTGGCACCTCCTCCTCCCCCCTCTCTATCTTCCTCTTTTTTTGTCCACCGATCTTACATGAAAACGACGAAACTCGTCAACTCGCAGGCAGAAAATCGACGCGGTCGAAGCCAATGGCGTGTAATTACTCGCGCGCTTAATTACTCCGTCTGGTTTTTCAACGGCGATGCGGCGCGCGCGTTTGCTTTTTCAAAAAGAATTCTTCGCGCATCCAAGCGCTTTCCCCGCGCGCCTCGATCCTTTCACTTACGGACTCATCAATCTCACTGGCTGGTTTTCCGACATGACGCAGCCGCGATCCCTCATTTCCAATCGTCACTTATTCCCTTTCTTCCGCGGCCACTTCGTTCGCGTTATGTAAGCCCGCATTATCATATCTCACGTATATCGCGCCGTATCTCATGTTACCGCAAAATTCATTGATACTCGGTAAACACATTCATTTTTTTTTTATAATTTGCGTATAATGTATCCGTTTTATTCAAGGTCCCATCTCATGAAATACTAAGGCAGTTTTATCACTACACGGAAAGAACAGTTTTGCTGGATCTGAAAAATAATGTTGTTATTAGAATAATTATGTATGATGAAATAATGTTGTTATTAGAATAATTATGTATGATATTCAATGTATGATTGCTAGGACATAAAAAATTTTGCAGTATTATCATATTTGAATGTTTTACATCATAATGGCACAACAAAATTATTTTTCATCTGATCAAATTTTTAGATTCTATAGCAAAAATTTTTTTTTATATAATACTTATAGTACGATATTCAGCGCGCAGTAGGTTTTTAATTCTTTTAATAGTAATATAAATATACTCATATCAATTCAAGTGGTTTTAAAAATCTTGGTGAGATTAATAATGTTTTCTAAAAGGGGATAAATAAATTATAGTCACGACTTCCTTTAGAAAGAGCTTGATCACAATCAATTTAAACGTTGATCAACATTTACATATGTTTTATGCTAAATATTTTGAAAAATAAAATGAATCATAGAAATGGATTTCGATGTAATCTCATGTTTGCCGTATAGTACGTGCGCGCAAAATCTACTCAACGTTTTGCTATTACATCATGTGGTTTCCACCAAGTGCACGTGCCGTGCGCATATATAAACGTGGGTTAATAACGTTACTGACTTCACGAGCCGTGGTAGTTAAATATTTTTGTTCGTTGACCACTAACGACGGACGTTAATATTGGTTCTGATATTTGCGAGATTTACAGGATTTCCTGTTTCGCGAAATATAATTATTTCATCTTGTAAAATGATATTCAAATTATTCAATACTTTATTTTTGCTGCATACTAGATGAACTCGTAAATTTTAATTATATTTTTGTTACTAATTGTAAGTATATTCAAAATACATTTTCATTTGAAAGCTGTTATTTAATGCTGACGTGTGTGCAAGAATGCGCACTTTAATGACGTGGTACACCTGTGTATCGTATTTTTATGCGTATTGATCGAACTCGCAACTAATATCGCGTGTCATGTTGTAAAATTTTGTTCAGCATTCTCCGGGAGACTTTAGTCATTTTCTTCTCTCTGCATGATTAATTTCCCGCACGCATACATTTCCAACAATACATGCAACGTAGAAGACACACGTATAGAATTATTTTTGTATTATATATCAGATTGAAAATGTATACGTTTAGATTTTTATATAAACCGATATGTCGGAAACTAGAAAGCATTTTCTGGTATTTCAAATCCTTTCGTAAACACATTTCGTACGTTACACTTTTGTTAGAGTCGAATCTATAAATCTCTTCCTTTAGTTGCGTCTACAAATAAAAGATTGCGTACACGGTATAATATAGCAGCGTATAAATATACAGCATTGTGTACGCGTCGTCGAGAAATTACATTAATATTGCACGTCGCGCCGCACACTCGGGATTTTATCGGATGCTATATTTATAACAGACCGCCACGCCT